CCACCACCCTCTGTCTTCTTACAGCTAGCCAATTTCTGATCCAAACCACTAAATCACCCTCAATCCCATGCCTCCGTATTTTCTGCTATGCCTCTTCAGAACTTCCTCTGGAATAACACCCACAACAATTTCTATTCGGTCATCCCATGTCACTGATGTAAACTGAATGCAGGGTGTTCAGCATTAATTCCTGGGGAACACCATTTGTCACAGCCTGCCAACTGCAGATCATTCTTTTTATTTCACTGTTTCCCACTTCCCAACTCGTTCACCTTGAATTATCTCCAATTTCATGCAGTCTCATTTTTGCTTACACTTAGTGAAGACCCTTACCAAATGTCAACTGGAAGATCATAATGATAACTCCTATTGACTTCAGTCAAAAACGGAACCCAAGTGAGGAAATTTCAGCCATATTAATCCTCATCTTCCAAAGGTGACTGCATTTAGGCACAGTACCAAAGGTCCAGAAAGCTAACATCACATCACTGCTCAAAAAGGGAGAAAGAAACAAACTCAAGCCAGCAAGTTTATCAATAGTGGAATTCATTACTGAGCACACAAAGTGAGCATTTGGAAAAATACAGCCAATCAGGAATTCAGCATGATTTTGTGAAGGGGTTAAAATAAAGTGAAAGTTAATGCTAGCAAATCATGAGGCAACACAATCAAAGTGCTTAAAGTGGCTAAAGGATAAATAGATGCAGCTAAAGGGTCTATAACAATACACCACAGAAGATTAAAGTTAGGAAATTCGGTACAAGAGGGCAGGACAGTTGCAAATTTGTAGAATTCCTGTCCAGGTTTAGTGGTCGAGGCATAAACTATTTCAGCTTTAAGGATTAAACTGGGTAAGTGAACGAAGGAACAATGGGAACAGTGCAGATAAACATGCCAATGCTGAGTGAAATGTAACACTTAGTTTGGTCTGAATGGCCTGTTTTTGTGCTGCAAATTCTGCACACTCGTGAAGACAACAGATCTTGAAATAGCACTGAAGATTAAACCAATGAATGATCGTACACAATAACTGTGACTCTTAGGTGCCCACCAAAGGAAGAATATTATAGACTTAGAGAATGGCCCATGACCACTCAATGAATGACTATTTAGACGAGGGAATGAGTTCTATTTAATTTTGGCTTGTACTCCTTGGTACAAGGGATCAAGTTGGTGGAAATGGGAATTGAATTTCTTCCTCTTGCGTGGAAATTCATAAAAACAGAAGTACCATACAACACAAAATAAACTGCTGAAACAAGTCAAAGTTTTATCCTCCCTCAAACAATATGCTAGGGGCATGGACACACTACTGATAATTAGTGAAAACTAATACTTCCTTGGGAAGTCAGAGATGCAGAGGAAAGACAGGAAAGAAAAATTAAGATAAACAAAACAGCAGAACAAGTTTCCGGACTTTTGCTTATGCTCACTCAGTTCTCTTATTTTAAGGAAAGAGTGCTCCAACTTCTCCAGTCTTAAAACCCAGTCCTCCCAATGTTACCTACGTGACTCTTCTCTGCATCACCTCTAGATCTCTCTGATAACTAAGAGTCATATCAGACTCCAAACATTAACTGATTTCTCTCTCCACACAGCTGCTGAGTTTTTCTAACATTCTGTATTTGTCTCGTCTGACTGGTACACTATTCCTGTCATATAATTCAGAGTTGGCCAGTTGATTGCTGCTCCAGTAACAGGCACTTTGAGCACTCAAGCCAATAAACTTTGCCATTTCCATCCATCCCTTAACTTCACAGTATGTTATACCCCCATCTATTTAAAATCATGAAGTATCAATATTCCAGGATTAAAGGGAACACCAAAGCAAACTGTCCTCATTCTGCATTTGTGACAGTGTAGTGGCTCAACTCCATAGTTTCAAATTTTCCCACGTTACTTCATTGCAGTCAGTTTGTTAACTTATGTTTGATGTTAGTCCCCCAGCCTGCTAATTCTCACGACTATCTTGAGTCAAACTAGAATGTGACCAAGATCATTAATTTTTGAAGGGTCCCAACCTGAAACGTCAACTTTCCTACTCCTCTGATGCTGCCTGGTCTGCGGTGTTCCTCCAGCTCCACACTATGTTATCAGGATCATCAAATGTTACTTATCCCAGAGACTAAATTGCAACACTGTGGGAAACCCTGCAAAGGAGATCAGCTTAGCTTGAAGTGGTGGAGACTCCATTATGGTTAGGACCCTGAAGATGAATGCCAGTTTTAGCGGCACTACTTTCACTAAGCCTCAGGTGATACTGAGCTATCGCAGTGTTTCATGCTAACCGGCCCTCAATAATACAAAATCATGCAAAGAAAGTAAAGAGAACCTTGTGTTTCATTGTGACAGAGTCCCATGACATGTCGATGCTCTTGATTGGCCCAAAGGGAGCAAAAGCCTGTCGGATGGTATCTTCCCCCAACTCATAGTAAATCGATCCAACGTAAACACGACACATGATCGCCAGCGCACGCTGTCTCTGTGCTGCCATCTGATCCAGAAAGGGAACAAAAGACGTGTGAATATGTACATCCAAGCAACACTAATCTAAGCACCCTAACAGAGAAAATCTGGACAGTAGGGACAAGTAATAGAGCATTACTGCAGGTGGTTAAATAACAGGCTGCATCTTTCAGGCAACTTATCTGCTAAACTGCAAATGCAGATCTCAGTTAACAAATGCCGTACAAAATAATTAGCTAAATAGAGAAAAAAACTAGCACTTACTGTGGATTGTACAGCCTCAAATAAGCACATTTCAAGTTGTCAAAATGATCCCATTGGTTATAACTCATCTTTTACAGGTTGCAATGTCAAACCACCAGTTTGAAGAATGGCAGAAGGGACGCCTTCACTTCACCTAAGCTGCAGTCTCTGCTCACATTGTGCTCCAATGAGCTGAATGGCAGGGAGTCTTTGCTGCAATCCTATCCTACCATCCTGTCTGCAATCTCATTTAGTGGACTTGTTTCACAATGGATCAGCAATGCTACACCAACTGCACTCACACTCTCAGACTGGGAGGTAAGTTGGGAGAAGATTGGAGAAAGCAAGAGAGATTCCCAGAACTGTATCACACTAGAATGTGCCAGACGGTCAGCACTTGGGAACTCTGAGCCAGTTCAGCATTGGGGTTGACATCTCAATCCTTGTACAAGGGCCTCATCGTGGGTGAAAAAAAGGGAAATGTTTATGGAAAAGGCATGAACAAGCCAATCGCAAAATCCCACAGCACTAATGGTGACGAAGAGGAGGCCTGGGCTATGTTCTCCCCTTGAGTGGGAAGGAGACATAAAGCATTGCTGCAAATTTAGAAAGGTCACAAGGGACAGGGAGAAAAGAGGGAGAGAGAAAGGGTGGGGGGGAAAAAAAAAAGAGAAAACATAAAATTTCTATCCACCCTTACCACCACTTCCACAAAAAGAAAGCTGACAAAACAGTCGTGGAAATTGTTCAAAAAGCAGTCCAGATGTGATGAGAAGGGAAAACACACAGACATGCAAATGTCATTGTAAACTGTAAGCCTATTAGTGCACGTTTCCTCGAAGCTTAACAATCCCACTTTTAAGAAGTACAACAAAAGAGCCCCTATGAAAAACCTCCAAAAAAATGAAGTTAATCAAACCAGTATTCTCAACAGAAAAGAGCAAGTGCTAATTTCATAGCAATTTTAAGCTTCTGATAACATTTGCTGTCTCTTTCTCACACTCCTTCTCTTTCCTCTCCACGCCACCTGACAAACTGTCTAAAGCATTAGAATCTGCAGTTACCTTGTGTGCCTGCACAGGTGCTTACTACACCAGATTATGACCACTCTGCAGCAGAGGAGCTAAAATCGCTTACTGTGGGCTTTTAACCAAAACAAAAATCACACTGCTCAAGACATTTTCAAAACTCCAAGTGTTAGTGCTTTTTGACAGAAGTCCCTACCTGATCTTTGGAGTCGAGACAATCGCACAGTTCCCAGCATGCCCATTTTCGAAAGGAACCCAGTGTCTGATGAGAGGAAGTCACTTATGAAAAAAATCTAATAAAGCCTTTTTGTTTAAATTTGAGGTGACATTAAGTGTTATGGATGTCGGTACGCCAGAGTTCCCACTAGGATTTTTAAAATTTAAATGGACAGAAAAATTAAGTCCTCTTTGAGTTTTTGTATTTAATGGCTAAAACCAGAATTAGTGGTTTTCGTTATTAGTGCACTCTCCCATAGCCAAAACTTCCATGCATACTGCACTCATCACATTGAGAATGTATAAGGTTAGATACAGTGAAGCCCCCTTATTGTTACTTCTCTATATCCCTCTTTTCACACTGTCTAGTATGCCACAAAACACAAAACTGGTCCACAGTCAGTTTGGTTCAATCAGTATCTAGTGCTTTAATCTGATCTCCGAGTCGACCCTACCCTCCTCCCCCCTCTCAGAAGTGATCAGGACATATGGACGATGTCGTCCTCCCATCTCTAAAGATGGCTGCGCACTGACAGAATCGGGATGAGTCTTTTGAGGAAAGTCATTATAATCACTAAATTTGCAACAAAATTCACAAATAAGGTGAGGGAGGGAGAAAGAGAGAGCGAGCGGAAGGGAGCAGGGAGTGGAAAATTTAAAAAGAAATGGTGTACAGACCACGCACTGAAAAGGACCCCGAGTATAAGCATCCAGCAGACCTAGAGCCATTCACCAACAGCACAGTAACACACAGTTCTCCAGCAGTTTGATGGGCCGAGTGTGACAATAAAAGGGCTTCCATATGGAAAGCTTTTCACTATGGGACTTCACTATTTTGCCTCTGGATTTATTACGATACCCACTATCTGTTCCCCAACCTTTAACTATTCTCAAAAGATCAGAGACAGGGCAAATCTACTCAAGATTTTAAAATAATAGGAACCCTGATGTACACGTACACAGTTTCAAGTAAGCTCAATATTTTAAAAAAAAGGAACCCAGACTCCAATCAGAGACAGACTCAGGTTTTATATTACTGAGGTGACAAATAAAGTGATAATGTGAGTACACAAACAGTCAGAATGGTGAAGACTTCAAACAGGAATAGAGAAAGTGTCCACAACCCAGTATTTGAACTGTCAAAACAGCAAAACTACTGGGTTGTAAAAGAAAAAGAAAAGAAAATGAATGGATAACAAATTGCAACTGAGAGCTCCATCCAGCAAGCTAGGACACTCCAGCCTAACACCATAGGTGCAAATTTAGTCATTGCAAGGATTTTAACAAGTTAAGAAAGGCACATGGCCACTGCCATTGTTTAACACCAGTCCATGCATTAACACTACTGCCTATAGAAGAAGTGAGTGGGAAATGCTGCTTTACAATGCTGTAGCAAATCCGAAACAAATTTATCTACAATGCAACCCTTTTTTCATAAATCCTCCAGCACATTTAAAACCTTGCTTCCATAACAGATGGAAGCAGAAGGCAACTGAGTAACAGCTGACTGGAATACGGCAGTGTAAAGCACAGCACAGTCCACACGGTACCACTATAAATTTACAATATTAACAGTTCCAATGCTCAACTTTTAAAGCACAACTTTCATTCTTCGCACGTGAGAGAAGGATCAGGGTTGGAATTATGCCCAATAGAGCCCACCACCCTCCATTTGGACTTGTGCCTGTTGCCACAGTGCAAATAGGTTCAATCAAAGTTACAACTGATATTCTACATGACTGTGGCCAACGTTACCTATTCCTATCATTCTCAAACTATCAACATTTACATGCTGTCCCTTGATGTCAACTTCCAAAACAACATCAGGTTCCACATGTAGACCTTTAACAGCACCTTCCAAATCTGCAACTCTACCACCTAGAAGGACAAGGGCAGCAGATGCCTGGGAACACCACCAGCTGCAAATCTCTCAGTATCCTGACTTGCAACTATGTTCCCTCACTGTGTCAAAATCCAGTAATACTTGCTCTAACAGCAGATGGTGAAATCAAATTCAATAAAGCAACATCCTTCAGGGAAGGAAATTTGCAATCTTTACCTGGTCTGGTCTATGTGACTCCAGACCCAGAGCAGCGTGGTTGATCCTCAACCACCCCAAAGACTTCAGTGGTTCAGAATGCAGCTCCATATTCTCCAGGGCAATTAAGGACGGGCAATAAATGTTGGCCCAGCCGGTGACACTCACATCACTTGAGTAAACGAATAAAATTTATACCACACATCCACTTCTTCACCCTCCCACTATGTTTCATCTCTCAATCTGCATGTCCACCATCCAGTGCTAGATAAGCAGCAACAGCCAGCCAAGAAATATTGGGAAGACACCTTTACATCCTTACCACAAATTCCATTCCCTAACCACTAACTTTCCTTTCTCCCTGCCCAGTGATGCTGAATAAAGGCTTGATGTTGTATTTGCCCCACTCTTTCTGGAACAGTGGCCAGAAAGCATTTAACTGCAGATGCCTGTGGAAAGAGGTTTATAATTTTGAGTTTGTGACAGACAATATAAACACATTAATGTTAATAGCCTGGTTTTCAGTTTGACTCAGAAGAATCAGGGACTGAGTTCAACAACACCACAAACTCAGAAGCAAGTTGTAATTTTCCTCTGAGCAGAAATTTTTCAGTTCAATTCAAGGGAAGCTAGTCACCACAGCAGAAATGCTTAGTTTGTGAAGGTTCAAGGCTAGGAGAGCTTGGAAAGAAATCTGCAAATTATTAGAACTGAGAAAATTTAGGATATCAAACTTGTGAAGAGTCCATGTCAGTAGATACAGTATGCTATCAAGTGTTTTGACGATCCATGGTAAGGAGTTAAAGGGATTCCTTCAAGTAGAAACTCTCAGAATTGAGATGTGAATATAATTTCTCTGGAGTGGAGTCTCTGTAATGGATAGTTTTGGGAAATATGTTGAAACTTTGCTCTGATGTTTATGTTAAGCTATTCTCAAGTGCAATATCAATAAGACTGTTCCATTTCTTTTGTATTTTGTTATTCACTCATGGGACATAGATATCTCTGACTGGGCCAGCATTTACTGCCTGTCTGTCGTTGCCTTGAGGTGTTGGTGGGGAGTTACTTGCTGCAGTATTCATAGCCTCCGACTTGCTCTTGTAGCCAGTACTTATGTGGTGAATTCAGTTGAGCTTCTGGTCAATGATAACTCCCAGGATGTTGATAGTTGGGGATTCAGTGATGGTAACACCATTGAATGTCAAGGGATGGTGGTTAGATTATTTCATTGGTGATGGTCATAGCTTGGCATTTGTGTGGCATGAATAGTACTTGCCAGCCCAAGCCTAGGTCTCGTTGCATTTGAACATGGACTGCTTCAGTATCTGAGTCGTCGCGAATGATGCCGAATGTTGCACAATCAGCAAACATCCCCAGTCCCATCCCCGCCCTTATGATGGAGGGAAGGTAATCGATGAAGCAGCTGAAGACAGTTAGGTCTGGGACACTACCTTGAGGAACTCCTGCACAGATGTCCTGGAGCTGAGACGACTACATCCTATAACCACAATCATCTTATGTGCCAGCTATGACTCCAACCAGTAGAGTTTTGTGACAATGCTGTAGCTTTAAAGGTTATTTTGTTCTAGTTTTTGCTTTGAAGAGAAGTTGGAAGGCAGAGGTGCCAAGCAATCTGGGGTAACGTAAGCAAGTTGTGAGGCCTTGGGTTTTCTTTTAAACAGCCTGAATCTCAGATCCAGATCGCTGGGTTTTCGTTTTTTTTTCCAGTAGCATCAGAAGCTATCGGGGTCTCAAAAGATTTGGAAGCTTCAGTTAATGTCCCTTGGCCGCTACTCTTGTTGAATTTTCTGTTGATGTTTTCCCCTCCTGGATGGGAGAACTGTATGTGAGAATCTGAATTTTTCTTTTTGGAAAGGGGTGTGATTGTGGATGTTACTATATTGGAACAATAATTAATAATAATTACAGTACCTATTATGTTTTCCAATAGTTAAATTATTCTAAACTCCTCTTTTTCATTGGTTGTATTTTTAACTATAGTGTTTAAATAAATTGTGTTTTGATTAACATCTATTAGTTTGACCAGTCGCATTTCATTTGGAACAGACACTTTACATCTACCTTTAAAATAAGAAAAAGTTAAGAGTCCAGGCTACCTTCTTAAAATATTGAGGGGGCCATGTCTGGTCAATAACAGTTTGTCCCCTGATACACACTGATTTTCCAAAACAGTATGGTGTGAGGCTTAGTGCTTCCAGATGGTCAATGACAGGTGCACTGTCTAGTCTTGTTTCTTTGTCAAGACTTCGCAGTAATTGACACAACTGAGTTGCTAGGCCATTTCAGAGGGCATTGCTGTGGGACAGGAGTCACACATAGGCCAGACTACATAAGCATGGTAGATTTCCTTCCTTGAAGTACATTAGTTTATTGAATTCAAATTCTACCATCTGCCATGGTGATATTCAAATCTCAGTCCTCTGAGCATTAGCTGAGTCTCTGAACTAATAATCTAGTGATAACAGCACTAGGCCATCACTTCCTCTTCTGTTGTTAAAAAATATCTGCAGCCTTTAGAAAATATGTTTCAGTAATTAAACTGCCACATTGATTGTTAATTTGTTTAGTTAATCAAGTCAGATTTCATTCTGGGTTCTAACTTGTGGCTTGTTTGGGATCAATATTAATTGAATTTAATAGGGATGAGTGACAGGGATGATGCAACAGTGGATTACTGGAAACCATTAAAGCTAAACAGAGATTAAGCAGAAAACTGAAGACTGAAATTAAAGCAAGGATTTCAGAAGGATGAGATACTTGAAGTGATTACTCATCCTTTAGAATTAGGAGGGTAACTTGAAATTGTTAAGTACTAGAATCAGGTACAAAAACAGTTCTGAGAAAGGGTCACCGGACCCAAAACTTCGTTTTTTCCTTCACAGATGCTGCCAGACCTGCTGAGTTTTTCCAGGAACTTTGTTTTTGTTCCTGATTTACAGCATCTGCAGTTCTTTTGGTTTTTTTTTCTAGAATCAGGTATGATTCTATGAAAAAACTGGAGTTGGAGGAACTGGAGCAGGCCATTCATCCACACCAAGTCTGTTCCACCATTCAGTGATATTGTGGTTAATCTGTGGCCAAACTCTATATACCTTTGCTTAACTAAAATTTCTCTCTCCAAATTAAAAGCAACAACCAATGTAGCACTGACAGCAATTTGTGGAAGACAGTTCTAAGCCTTTACCTTTGTGTGTAGAAATATTTCCTAACATCTCTCCTGAACGGTCTGGTCCCAATTTTTAGACTACACCTTTAGCTCTGGGATCTCTAAGCAACTGAAGTAGTTGGTCTTCATCTACCCTGTCTTTCAAAGACTTTGATCAGATCACCCCTTAACCTTTTAAATTGTAGAGAAAACAGGCCTAATTTGTATTATCTCTCCTTGTAACAACCCTGGAAGTCCAGGCATCATTCCTGTAAATCTAGGTTGTACTAAGGTTTTGGAGTAGAGCTGTAGCTCGGGTTGTGGGTGTTGAGGTTGGTTGGCTCGCCGAGCTGGTTTGTTG